CGGCGACGGCGATGACGGGGACGACAGAGGCAGGTGATGGCAATATGTACAGACACATCTATATATATTTACTGTACTGTTTGAGAACAGTAAGTGACATGGTTTTTCTTAAATGGTCATCATGGGAGCAGTGCCCAAAATAGGTTTTTTCAAATTTTGATGCAATACTACATAATGTTTAACAGCATAATGACCATCAATTTTTAATAATAAAATATTAGTATCATGGGTATTCAGAAAATGTGACTAGAAAAGGTCTTCAGGCCCATGGAACTTCAAAGTCACAACTTGAAAATGCCAAAATGTAAACAAGACAGCCTGTTCTGAAATGTTTTTTTTTCCATTTTTAACATTTTTTAACATAAAACAAAATTAACAGTTTACTTCCATTTTTATATGATCAACTAAGAAAATTGATGAGATGGGAAAAATATCAATAGAGCAGTGTTAAATGTCCAATTTCTTCCATTCCGAGATTCTGAACATAGTGAATGATTGAATCTGACAAACTGCAATGATACGAGTTTATTTCCATTTTTGAAACTTTATTACACAATACACGATAACAAGTTTACCATCATTTTTACAAAATCAACTAACAATGTTGTAAAGATGCAGGAAATGTCAAACAAAAACTTTTACGTATCTTATTAGTTTAATAATGAGACTGTTAACATGCCTAAGAATTGAATCTGAGGAAATGTGAAAAATATGCTGAAAAGTGAAAAAACAGCATAACTTCTACAATAATGGCCCGATCATGCTGATTTTCGAACTTGACCTGCGTTTTATGAATATTCATCAGCTCTGTAAATATAAAGCCAAAAAGTAAAACTGACCTCCACTTATCGTGTTTACAAGGAAAGTGCACGGCGCCGGCATCGCCATCGGCATCGCCATCGGCGACGGCGACGACAGACGCAGGTGATGGCAATATGTACAGACACATCTGTGTCTGTACATAAAAATCATTTATTTGCAAAGAGACTACACCCATTTTTCATCTATGACACAAGATGCGTCATCATAAAAACATGTTTGGTTTAATTCAGAAACAATTAATATTTTTATCACCATCACACAAGAGACAATTAAAAACCAAATTCACCATGTATGTTTTACTCTGCCCAAATAACCTTCACCTAATCACCCTATGATACCCAAATTGTCTAAATATTTTAAACATGAAACATGGTGACAGTTCAGGCCAAGCACGGATTCTATAATCTATGACTTTGCCATCCTGCAGGCCATCATAGGACTTCTGATGACAGGCACTTACTCCCTGTAGATCTGTATCATGAGACTTATGATTTATTACATACGACCTGCATGTAAAGAGTGCAATAATGTCCTCTACACACCAAGGCTGTATTCACAACCATGTATAGAGTACAATAATGTCCTCTACACACCAAAGCTGCATTTACAACCAAGTTAAAGGGATAATAACTCTTCATATGAGATCTATATTTCACAATAAAAACATTGTGAACAACTCATAGAAATATAATATATTCTGTTTTACCACAAAAACAGCAGTTATAGCTATTATTCTGATATCTGAGCTTGTCTTCAGATCACGTGACCTCCATTGATGGCTATACTCTGTTATAATCTCTTAAGAGATTTTAACAAAAAACCAAACTTTTTAGAAAAAAACCAGGGACTAACTTTAAATGTAAAAATGGATTCATTAACCATTGGTAAGTATGGGAAAATTGTTGTTTACTCCAGGAAAATTCATTTTTTGGCCGAAACGAAGAGTTATTATTGCTTTAATCCAAGGACTAACTAGTCCATGGATCAAATATGGCGTGCACTTGACAATGGATTCCCACCTCCAATGCATGCCGTCCAGCAGCAGAAGAGCAATAAAATCTTACCATGCTTTTAAGTGGATCACGCCATATTTGATCCAGCAACTACTTAGTCCGCAGATCAACTGGTTCTGAATGTGCCCTAAGTAGAACACTAAACTGGATCAGTCCATTTTAGAAAGATTGGCAATTAACTTAACAGCCTGGCTATTAGGGTAAAGGTCACCTAAACTAAATGTAATAGGCAGCTCTTTAAAAACATACACCACGTAAAATATATGTTGAGTTTATTGCACGTCAGTTTTGCCCCTAGTTAACAAGTGTCTTACACAGGTAAGTGTCAGGGAAGAGTTCAATTTAGGGTGGAGGGAGGTGAAAAAATGTTTGCTGATGTTGGGCCACCTTGGCTGCCACTCACCAGCCAGCCTATTGCCAAGGTTGTTCATCAGTCACCATGGTCAAAACAGCACCAGTTCTAACACAACAGTGGCAAAGGACCCAACCACTTCGTAGTGGACAGCCCATTGAAGACAACAAAATAAATGGCAGAACAAAAATAAAACAGTAGAAAAATGACAAAAGAGCAAATGTGTTAAGAGACACAAGGCCTAAGCTATACCTGTATAACTGTCTCGTAGTATATCCACAGATTCTACCAGTTTGCCCGCGATGGCGTTATTCAGGGCTCCTAGCAGCAGCTCTTCTACCTGCCCCGTGCAGATTTTTAGGTCCCGCGCTGTACGAATCTCTGCGGAATCACTGATGTCTACACCTGAATATATACACACATGTAAATATATATTGAATAAATAAATAAATAAATAAATAAATAAATAAATAAATAAATAAATAAATATATAGTTAAACATTTCTTATATGTAATTAATTGCATATATTACATGTACTGATTCATTAGTATTTCATAAGTCAATGCATACATAAATCAATGTAATTCAATTCAAGAAATAAAATTCCTCTAGCTGCAGATTAGATGACACAGCAAATGCTTCTGGAGGCTAAAAGAGTGACTCAAAAATCTGTAACCCTCAAGCTGATTTCAAAGTTATACAATTCCTAAACTGCTATCGTTAGAGAAATCAAAGACCACGAGGCCAAATACGCTCAGCTTTCTCTTAGACTACAGATTTATCTACAAGGCCTTATGCTTTATTTCCCATGGTGCAGTAATAGATAAGATTGAGGGAGATTTCAAAACGGTCGTGTGACAGGGTGACTAACCTGTGATTGTGCACCCATTGACCCCAAGGTCAAGAATTTCTATGAGAACAACACACTATAATATAAATGTATTGGTCCATGTAGTTTATGAAAAGTAGCAACAACTTTTTTGTTTTAAAAGTTATGTAAAACCCATTTAATTAGACCATTCCTGATTTAACTTGGATCCAAGTAGATTAAAATTAATGTCTAAAAGTTCAGACCAATTTCAGTTCAAAAGTTCTTTAGGGCAGTAGGCTCAAGGTCAAGGTCAAGGTCAAACCTAAGATGCCCAGCATTGATGGTGCAACATTTTCTGTGCTCTTGTCTGCATACAATATGTATCACCAGCTGCTGAAGATCCTACACATTGCCTTCAGCAAGGGCAATACTGCCATTTAGTGAAAAAGAAAGTCTGAAAATATGGCCTAATGTCCAAACCTTACTCCTCCTCCCCCTCCCTCTTCTCTACATACACACACATTTTTATTGCACATCTGCATGGATCTCAACAATGACATCAGAAATCTTCCAAAAGTTGAAAAAATCTCTTCCCTGCTATACACTACTTTATTTGAAATATGCCACAGTGCACTTTTTTGCTACTACCTCAGATTGAGTGAAAGTTGGTAATTTGGATAAAACTGATAAAATAAGTCAGAGGTTCAGTGCCATAGCATTGTCTGGCCTAGATATCACATATGTCATATATCTATATATATATATAAACAGTATCTGAAACAGTATCTGAATAATATCTCAGCTGAGAGTAAACAGTTGACAGTATAAATAAGTAAACATACCAAGTCTGCAGCTGACTGAAGGTAATACAGGTACTGTCATAGAGACAACACTGCTTATAAAGTCTACAGAGTACACCAAGAGTTCAGACCAATGTCATGGGGAAAATGGCAATGAAATATGGTATAAAAATAAAATAAAGAAATGTTTTTAAAATATAAGGAGACCTGGATTCAGCTGAAACTGTACTGATGTATTTCCCTCCTGATAAACTGTTTATCCTGAAAATTTCAGCAAAATTTGCAATAAAACATTTGAGGTACCTTGGCCACTTACAAACAAAGAAGCAGACACTGATGACAATATAACCTCCTTCATATCAATTGGCAGAGGAAATTACAACAACCTTTTAAAACCAGACAGTCAAAATATATTGGCCCAATACATGATGAGACTGTCTGTGTTTGGCAGTTAATTTCCTATTCAGGCTAGAATCAGCAAGGAAGGGATGATGCTTATTGATTTCAACAAGAATGCAAAACCAACTGAAGGATGTTCAACCCAAATGTCCAAATCAACTTAGAAAAATCCACTCTAAAGTCAACTGAGACAAAGTTCTTTTTTGGTACCTGTGAACTTCTGGGAACAGTTTCATCACCCTTATAGAAATTTCCTATAAGACCAGATAGAATTCCTATATGATCCTACAGACTCCTGTACAGTCCCACAGGAATCCTATAGAAGATTTCCGTGAGGGCAACTGGGACAACAGGTTTTTCCTGAGGAAAGCAGCCATTTTCACCACTGTCAACACAGAAATATCAGAGACAAAAAATAGGTATCTACTGTTTAGGAAACACTACCTACAGAACACCTGACATGAGAATAAAACTTTTATCTACAATGAATAGTGTCATCTATAAGATACCCCTATTCATTGTTGATAAAGCTGGGTCCAGAAAGTTCAATCTTTCAACAGGCAGGTTAGCTGACACTGTTTTATTGTTTTTAAAATCTGCATGAAAGCAATGTTTGAAAATGCCTCCAAACCCCCACAGCAACATCTGTGATTCAAACTCTAAGGTCAAAAGACAATGTTCATATGAATCAGTGGTGTAATCTGGTTCACAAAACTCCATCTTGAATCAGTATAGAGGTGATAAAATTTGAACTGGAAGGCCAAAATACAATGGTCAATTATCTATAATTATATGTAAGTCTATGTTTGACCCTGTGCCTTACCAACAGTTCTGACCATGTGTACTGACATGTTGGCTCATTTCAACATCATATTCAAAACATAGAGATCAAATCCATGCCTGTCAGAATCTGAAATTTGTTTCTCACAGAAAGTATTATCCAAGAGATGTTCTGGCACCTTGCTTAAGTGCACAGTCAAAAGACAACAGTCAAATAACTGTTATTATAGAGCTTGGGCACTCTATTTTACACCAGAAAAGAGACAAAAAAACAGGCTGAATGTAGTTTTCTAACCCTCCTTCATTATTACAGCCCATTCAGGACCTTTATGTCAAACTCATCAGGTCTAAAATGTTCATTATCACTGTGTGAATTCAATTTGATAGTTGAGCAAGTTAAAAGACACCCAACACACCCTAACTTATATAGCAAGAACATAGCAATATCAATACCTATGAAATCGTATTCTGCAGCTTTCGCTACCAATTTTTCCTTCATGTCCTGAACTGTCTCTGCGATGATCGTCTTTATCTCGTCCTGCTTCTTCATGGCAATGTCCATAAGTGAGTTGTATAACTCACACTCCTTTTCACGTGCAAACTCCAATCTGCGCGGCGTCACCATCATGTCTCTCTGCATGTCAAATGCCGTCATGATAATCATTTTCAAGCAGCGTCCATGTATTTGGTTCATCACCCCGGCAACGGCCACTAACATCTGCCGTAGTACACGCTGAGTGTATTGCACTAACGAAGGCGTAAACTGATCAAAGTTCTCCAACAATTCGCTCTCCATGATAACGTGCTCTCCTGAGCCACTAGATGTGGACGAGCTCAGGGTTTGGAGCACCTGTTCTGTGGATGTTGGAAGCATACTAAGGAAACCTATATCACAAAGCTGCTGGAAAAGATTCAGTCCTATCTTGTATTCAGCAGAGTTTCTCTTGGAATTACGTTTACTGTTACTGTTACGATATTCATTGGTTGGGCCGACGCCATTTACCCTACTTGGTCCATCCGTCAGGTCCAGGGGGAGCGGCGGTGGTACCCGGACAAAGAATACAGGCAGTTCCGGTTCTGCTTCATGCAATTCCTTCAGCTCTTCTAGATCCTGAAAACAAAGAACATTTTCATTATAAAATACTAATGCTAATTTACATTCAATGAAGAAATCTTCATTGCCGTTCACACTGAGTTCCTATGGACAATGTCAAAGCCATATGCTTCAGCTCATACATTGCAGTTGCACTCAATTGCACTCAGCAAGAATCCCCACCAGGTTGGATCCATCTACCTTCATTGTGAACTCATCGATATTTACTTAATGCCAGTGGAAACAACCACTTCCTCTTCTTAAAGAAAATATATTTCAAATCAGTTCTGTCATTACTTGCAAGTTAATGATTGGAACAAATGTATTACAATGACCCAGACAACTTGTGTCATCTGTGAGACAAGTATGGTCCATAAACTCACTAAACAAAATTTCAGTGATATCTTATATCAACTCAACTGAAGTTCTTGTTCACTAGGAGTTTCTTTGGACTTGTAAGTTACAAATACTGTAAGAGTAACGGGAGCTACTGGACTGAAATCCTTGCCAGTGTTTTTCATTGGCAGGTGATCTTATAGCTTCAATAAATTCATAACTGGGAAAAAGTGATTTTTTTGAGATGGGTCATTTTGGACTAGTTTATAAAGTGTATGGTTTGCCTGGTTACCAACAAGGCACTTAACATAGCTATCCTGTCAATCTGATTGCAGACCCCTTGGAGTTGGATCCATCTAGGTAGAGAGATAATTTCATAGGGAATGAGCCCTTAGGTATGACATATACAAAGGTGTGACAATGAACTCAGGGGAAAACACAAGGGCTACCTCCCCCATGCTCCATACCGCCAGAGGCACATCAAATAACAAAACAATAAATAAAATTCTGTGATGTACCCCTATTCACAACTTTGCCATAAGGATTATCACGCAGTATCTTTAAAACATAGGTTTCCTATCCCTGAAATATGACGTGTTATCTTCCCCATTACATCACTTGTAACTTTAGGCTATCAGTGGCCGCTATCTCTCCTATATCACAGTGTATGCCACGCACACCACCAGATAACACACTGCTTCTGGCACACTGTTCACAACTCTACACCCGCTCCTGGCTATCAGAACTGTTCTAAATTAATCACTATCATTATTACTCAATTATTAACATGTTAGTATTAATCATAGTAGCAGTTCATATCTAAAACTGTATAATTATAGGTATAACATTCACGGAACTTCCAACATGTCGTTTTCATGTTTGTAATAAGTTTACATGGAAAATTGCAGTTGCAGTCATATTATGAGGACATCTTAATTTCAGATTATACATGCTTTTAGAAATGATGTCCAGCTGATAATCGTATGTCNACACCAGGTTGTAGTGATCACTATCTTTGTCACATATCTCTGCCACATGTTGACTGGCTGACTAAGTGACCCATGATTGGAACTTACCCTGTGCCACTTTTATATCATAAATAAACAAAGGACATATACATTTGGAGTGTACAGAAGTCAATGCAAACACAGTCTAGGCAAACATAGAACAGATTTTTTTTCTCAGGTATCATCATCTTCTAAGTATCAGATAAAAATTTACCTATCAAAAACAAATTACAGATATCTTTTCTTGTCTAACCAGTTCCGCATGGGGAAAGTGTTCCAAGAGAATACCAAGAGTACAGAAACAAACATAACTTCATTAAACTATAAAAATCCCTAAAAAGTCTTTCATATGGAAAACATTAATCAGTGTTTGTTGCTGGATAACATGGAAATATGTTCTTACTTCCTCCATCAAATGTGGCCGAGTTTGTTTCTTAGCGGAGAAAATATCCTTAAAATTTTGTCATAAATTTTGGTTGAATTTTCAGGATAGAAAGAAGGTGATTACAATCACAGCTGAGCCCAGCTCTCCTTATCAGGGTGTTTTCATGCCAACAAAATCAGCAGCAATAATAATAGTAATAATAATAATAATAATAATAATAAATACATTATATGCTTAAACAGTACCTCAACACTATATACTTAGGCTTGCTATCCAACAAATTTTGTCTTTTTTTATTATTATCTTAACCTGTGTAATTTCTTACTTTCAACTTTTTGTTTTCCTGTGTTATTGTGCAGTCAAAATAAATCACTTTGTTACCCTCTATTTAAACAGTCCAAAACCCACAGTATGACAAATATGATTTGCGAGTTCTTATTCTGGATAAAATTAGTCACCGCTACGCAAAACTGACAGCTTTCTTTTTTATTTTTTCCTTCTATATTTTTCATTATTTTGACAATAAAAACAAGACTGACTGTCAAGAATGAAAGCATGAAATGAAACTTCCTGTTTCAAGTTGTTTTGAAAAGTTTTATGCATGGCAGATGCAACTTGCACTTTTAGTTTACTTTCTTTTCTTTTTTTCTCTTAAATTGTGAAAAAAAAACTGGGTCAAACTTTTCTATTTCCTGCTTGATGAATCATAAAATATTGTACTTGACCCTCTCTAACGCATGAAAAAAAATCTACTTTGACTTGCACAGTCTTTTAAATCCAAATCTATGCTCCAGTCCGATTTGCTCTCAATATAAGGCGGCTTCAACACTAATTTTTCTGACATGGAACAACAACCGATTTCTGTCAACAAAACAAGAGTCACCACAAACACAGTCAACATTGCCTAGTCTTTTTATCACGGGACTTTGACAGTTTCCGTTCTTACCTTGGTCGAAGTTCCCACACGTATTGATGTCTTTAAACATACTTTCCGTCTCTGACAGCACACCCCTGAGCCTGTGGGCGTTTTTCACGAAGTTGTGCACTTCGTGCGCCAAACTCTGTTGATGCACAGCCATTTCGTTTCCTTCTCTACATTGCCAGTGACCGAGAACCGGAAGTATCGGAAAAGAGCAGACACCTCCGAGGCCACTTCCTAGAGATGTTGCGATTGGTTAATTTAGGGTAATATAAAATTACGCCCTTCAAATTGCACTTTGTGCAACAAATAATCTTATTTGATAGAATTTCAAAATAATTTGAATAGAAATCGCCTTATCTTTTGTTAATTTCCTAGCATTCGTTTTCTTCTGAGAAAGAATGAAGGTATGTTGTATATATAGTTGTATTTTATTCCCAACTTTGATCTCCGTTACTTGCGTGTCTTGTGTCAATATCGTTGAGAGGAAGGAAGAAGATGGGAGCTTTTGCTGTTCATTTAAATCTGTGCCATGGTATTGAGCAAAAATGTGAGTATGTGTGATGTAAAGTTTGAGAAAAGGTGATTGTGTAACAAGAAATTATATATGTAAGACGAAAAAAGTGCAATTTACCTTTGGCTGCCCGACACGTTTATATCTCCCATTGCAGTTGTACCCATATCATCAACCCAAAAGTTCCACCTAAAATGCTTTATGCAGCGGGATACAGGGCAATACACTAGCAAAAATTAATCCGGTTGCAAATAAACACAGGAAATTGTCATTCCCAAGGAAATAGGGTGGTATGAAAGCAAAATAATGCTAGGTAATAAATATCATAGTTATTCAATTGATACAACTTAACAAATTGGTGCTATTTGTTTGTCGGGTCTTCCACCATATTGCCAGGCAGAGCCACCCACTGACTTAGCAGACGACCCAGAAATAAGCAAGTCTTTCTGATTTATTCAGTTGCACAATGTCAATGTGCTATCCCCATGCACTGTGAGCAGAGACTCAGTGTATAGATCAACCCTGGCAAATTAGTGATGAACTACTCTATGTATATGCTCATATTTAACTATTTATTTAATTATGACAGACATTTGGACTGACAATAGTGAAAAATTTGCCAGACCAAATGGATTTTTTTCGGACTGAAAATTACCCTATTCGTTTGAGACAGATACTGCCAGTGCAATTAGGTACCTTACTTTGTTTGTGAATGTGATAGGTTTGAAATGGAAGGGTAAAAACGCTTTGTGTTTTATATAATTTTATTAGGGAAGTACATGTATGTCAAATGATGAGTCGTAATTTAAAAGTGTGTCTCTTAAAACTCTTGTCAATAAAGAATCTGAATCTGTAGTGTTTGTCATAGTGGCACTATTTGTTTGGGGCGGTAGCATTAGTCTGAAGGTTCATTGGTCCGAATGTTCTCTATGGAACCTTTGGACCAATGAACCCTTGATTAAAAAAAACGATGAAGATGTTACTATTTTTTGGACCAATGAACCTTTTGAGTCGCCCCACCTGGTTACTACTAGTACTACCATCATTTAGACAGATGGTTCATCAGTTTTACTTTCTTTTTAACTAAGTAGCCCTCCACTGCTTTGGAAAGAAGTTGGTTTGATGTATATGCACATTTTTGACATTTATTAAAATTTCTTGGAAGGCAAAGATGCATTTATTTCTGACGTAAATCCAGATCATCCTGTAGATTTTTTAGTACTTTGTAGCACTTTCCAGCTCACCAGGCAGTTATGTTATGTATGAGACTTTAGAAAGTCAACATTATGGTTCAAATTACTGGAAATTTACCATTATACGTCATAGGCTTTATTTTAACTCAGGCAGATTCTTTATCTGCACAGACTTTGTTCTTTAAGGTTCATAGCGCAGTTGTTCAAATTTCAAATATATCCTTGTATACTCAGGCAGATAAGAAAATGGGGTATTAGGATTAGGAATTCTTTTGTGCCTAAACTTCATATGTCCTTATCTTTCAGTAACCATATCATGAAGTGAAGAAGACAAAACCAGCAGCCATGTTTTCCCTCAGGCGTGCGATAATACGAAACTTTGGGGGTAGGTTGAATTGAATAGAAAAAAACACACACTTCAGTGCTAACACAATTGATAGCCTAAAGCGGTTGAACTGAATTGTAAAAATAAGTGTAATAAGCTACAATTATGGTAAGAAATATAGTGTTCACTTAGTCCAAAGTTACTTCCTGATAACCTGTCTTTCAATGGTTGTGACCAATGTACTATGTTCAACTAAAAAAAAGTCTATACAGGTATTTGTAATAAATGCTAAGATGTCTGACAGACACTGACGCATGGACGTTATATTTTATTATATTGTTTCATATCATTTTGTATCACATTATATTATATTATATTATATTATATTATATTATATTATATTATATTATATTATATTATATTATATTATATACAGGATGGAAGTATTTTATCATGTGGATCTTGGCGCTCTCAGTGGCTATCTACCTCATTGACAGCTATTTGATGCCAAGCAGACCCGTCTCCAAGCTTCTGAAAGGTAAGATGGCTAAATTGGTCATTACATGTATTTTTTTTGTTTATTTGTCTATATTTATTTTTATATGATTATTATGTTTTTAGATCAAATAATTGTCTAGAAAATGACATTTACCCATGAAAGATTTGAATTTGAAAGCTCTTCTATTCTTTCCTAAATGCTTTGTGATTAATCACCTGCTGTGGAAGTGCTTTCTTTTGATTTATAGTGGATAAGTGTGTTGAATATACTGGAAAGTGGAAAAAGATAATGAAATTTTGAATTATTTCTTTTTTTTTTATCAGACAATGGAAGATATACTGTGTTTTTCTAAATTTCCAAAATCAGCATTAAGATATGTATATATTTGATAACTATTCGTTGTGACTGGTAGTTTGCTTATACAAGAATGTTGAAGAGAGTAAGGATAATACCATGAAAAATATCAATAAATTGTCCCCAATGGGAGATATTCATAGATTTTCTGTGTTTATGTGCAGCATGTGTGACAGGGTTGTTGACATATTTGATGTGTGATACACACCTGGCAATGCACTGAACTTGCTGTAGAAACATATGAAGTAAAAGAGTAAACTTCAGTGTTAGGAGACTTCCACGGATTAATGCAGTTAATTTGATGACCCAAAAAGTTTTATAAATAAGGCTCTGCTTTCGGTCAAATTAGGTTATGAGCACTAACTTTGTATGTAGAATCATTCCTTACTTGTAAATTCATTTGCAGAAAAATAATTTTTAGAAAATACAAAAAAAAAAAAAAAAAAAGAAAGAAAAAAATACCTAAGATGATCATTGTGGTATAAATATATTAAAAGAAATTTGTTACTTGAAAATTATGAAGTCTAATAATTACAAGTTTCATAGTCTATCTTAGCAGGTTGGAAGATAGGGATGTCTAACTGTTAAGAGACCAGTTTATTGGTAGCATGGGCTCTGGGTGGTTAACAGACAGATTAGAATGTCTTTCTGTGGTGAGCTTATCATAATTAGATAAATATATAATACTGTTAAACATATATATAACACAGTTAGCAGTAGGTGAGACAACAAAGGGATTAGATTGTCCTACTTTGGTGAGGCAATCAGATCACGCTGTTTGTTGGGATCACAAGTGGAAAGTTAAGCAGTTCCATCTTCATTCTTGGATGGAAATTGGCCTTTGACAAAGTGCTTGGTTCAGACAAATCTATTTTGGACTGAAATTAAGCCTTACCTACTAGTATGCATCAGAAGACTAAATTAATTTGATCCTGGTCTGAATTCATACAGCTCAAAGACAGAAAGCCTACTGGCAATATATACTGTGTACTGAATAGTTTGTAGTTTTTTTGTTTTTTAGTTCTTGGCAAGTGTCTGATTAGTTTTGAGTTACAAATGTTAGAAAAACAAAGTCCACATACTGTAATGGTATTTGAATAGGTTTCAAACATGGGAAATTAGAAAGTATTATTTTGCAGCTGTTTGACCTTTTTCACAAATCTTGTTGTCTCAGGAGACTTTCCTGGTTGTATTTTGAATACAGCTGGTAAATTCAATAAAAGACCAAGGGAACAAAAGTGAATTAATCAATAATGAATTTTGCTTAGTAAAAAATTCCCAGAAGTCCCATTTTGTCCAGTTCTTTAGAACAGCAACACTAGCAGAATTTGAGACGCTTCTTATTTTTCAGATGCTTCTTTTTCACTAACTAATAAATCTCATGAGTTTTTGCTGCTTTTAATTTCAGATGCTTCCGCCACTCCTGGCACTGTGCATGTGTTGAAAACAGGGGCCGCCCCCTTACAAAGTGTCCCCACTGCTGTCCTTAAAGTAGACAAACCCAAAGGCAAATATCACGTTTTATTGTCAAGCATGTTCTCTTCTTTTTGTCTGGGCTCATTTTAACAAACTATCAGCAGAGGACGGGCTGAAAGTCGGTTTAATTTGGGGGCAACTTTATGGAATTTATTTGAAATTTTTGAATAAAAACAGCAAATTTTATGTATTATGTAAAATAACAACATGGGGCAATGCAGAAATAATTTTTTAAAATAATTAACATATCAAGTTGGGCATAAAAACATACATTTATATATCGTTAAAAGAAATAAAGACATACTTGGTCAGTGATGTTTAGCATTGGCCTGTGGTTTTACCGAAAAAAAAGGAAATGAAATGATATAAAAAAGATGAATTGTTTAAATGACAATTAGTATAAATACTGAATTACATGTCAAAATGAGCTCAGGTTTTGCATTTTAATACAAATAACCTCTAATTTCTTCCAGCACTGCTGTCTGTTATTGATCTACTACTAACTGCTGACATGAAGATAAAACCACACCAGTTCTACTCTGAAATGTCACAAAAAAAGAAAAAGAAACATAAGCAAAAAAAGTTGGTTTAGCTGTATTGCCAAAACTGGATGGGTTATCTTCATTTGTAAACATGCCTTCTATTTTTCTTATCTTAAATTTATCTTTCTTTTCAGTTGCATATATATACAGTTTGAATAAACATATTGTTACGCTTTTAGTTTATATTAGTTTTACTAAAAATAGAAACAAATCTTATGCAGCAAATCAGAATTATGCCAATATAATGCAGAATGTGAGGGTCAGTCTTAGCATGACTCAGAAAGCTCCTTTTGTCAGAATGATCCTCATGACTAATTGAGTAATAGTCACAGTGACGGTCACAGTTGTAGTTTCTAGTAGTGGGGTAACAGGTGGTGTTCTGTGGATGCCTTCTCAAGTTGTTATTAACAAATGATTTAATTTTTGCATGACTGAATTTACACTATATTGCATTTTCATATACACAACACAGATCAAATGAATTGGAATTAAATTGATTTGGTATTGATTTTTTTTTTTTTTTTTTTTTTGTATTTATGTTTTTTCATAATTTATGCCTTTTATCGTGTTTTCTTTGAA